AAGGGAGACTGGTAGGTTTCTGTGGAGAGATCAAAGTCAAATCAGGAAAAATGTGGCCTTGGAGTAATGGATAGGCATTCACACACGCCTCTTACTCACACCCCACATGCCCAAGATAAAGGAAACTATCCCCTCTCATTGGCTGTGGTTTGCTTCCAATACACTTCTTCCACCACAACAAAGAACAAACCTCACCAATCAAATTCCCCCTACCATGGCCCACATGATGACAGGGCAGAATCCGACTAGGTGCGCAAAGAATCCACACGTAATTTTTGTACTCCATCAGTTAGGCAGGCCCTTACTATTGCTTATATCACAAAAAACATTTTTCGCAATAAATTTGCATTTCAAATGATTAAGAAAATTTATCCATGCGTCCGAGATCATTTAATTTCTCCTTATTCAATATTACTTGTATCATAAAAAGAAAAAAATAAAATCCGAATACGATTTGTTTTAAAGACACGCCTCACCGTCCGCTTCACGTATGAGCAGCGGACCCCAAAAGAATGCCCCTCACGACCGTTAGGAACACCGTCTTTGTCTGAGGGTGGGGCCTTGCGCCAACCCAGTAAGGCTGAGACACGTAGTGGATCAGTGCCAGCTGGAGGCACGTTATATTCGGTTGGCCAGAATATACGGATGCCATAAGCATTTTCATAGCACCAAAACTTGGGAATTTCTCACTTTAATTTTTATTTTCTTGTTCTTTTGCCCTTTTTTACTTTTTTTTTCTTCCTTTAAATGGGAAGGCACAAAGAGAGCGGGAACACGTACAGCTGCCTATTGCTTTCCTCTACTTGAGCGCCCCATTCACTCCTCCTCTCTGCCCGCCTCCTCTTCGTTTTGAGATCTGTGCTCTTCTGTCGTCTCCTTCCTTCCTACTCGAGGCTTCTTCTTTCAGCTAGGGTTTCGTAACTCCGATCCTTTACCGGTACGTGCTTGCTTTTACGAGTCCGAGACTGTCGTTTTGTACACTTTGTGCTGCATTTTTAGCTGATTTTAGCGTCGTTTTTCTGACTTTACTGTGCATTTCTAGCTAATTTTAGCGTCGTTTTTCTGCTGTTTGTGGATCCGATCTTTTTCTCTTTGCTTTCGCTCGTAAGCGTTTGCTTTTGCTGCGTACGCTCCATGTTTGCGTTTTAATTTCTCTATCTTTATCGCCATTGGAAATGATTGTGTGGAATTTATGATAGTTTCTGAGATCAATTTTTCTAGATGCTGAGAGCTAGCCTTGTTCTTTGTTATGGTTCTGAGATTGCTCATGTTCTCTGGGTTGTGAATTACTTCCTATTTTCGTAATTTTAGTAAAGGTAAAGTCATAGTTTGGCAGATCTATACACGGTTTCGCCGGATATTTTGATTGCAGAAGTTTCCATACATTTTCATTTGCTCAGCGTTTACTTTTAAATAAACGCTTTGCTGACACGTTACCAGAAACATTTTGACTGTCAACTTGCGAGGATATTATTAAATTAATTTCTTGATTTTTAGCCTCTGTTGAAAAAACAGCTTTTAACAAAATTTGGAGCTGCTGATATTTGTCTGCAAGAAGCTAATTCGTCTCCTTAATGCCTTTTGTCATTCGCATCTGATAGCTTAAGTTCTGCAAATATGGCTTAAGTTTTATGTGATCTTGATATCAAAGCCCTCTTTTGCGAGAACATTTTTTATATACGATTTTAACATCTGGAACTGAAGAAAGAGCTTTTACAAAATTTTGTTGGCATTTTTTGATTTGGTGTGAGAAACTAATTCTTCTCCTTGCTGTCCTTTTGTCATTTGGATGATTGGATCTGATAGCTTAAGTCCTTCAAAAATGGCTTTAGTTTTTTTTGATCTTGTATATGAGGGTGTATTTGAGATATCAATGTTCAACTTCATTATGAATTCTGGAAAAATGGAACTGTTTCTGTATGTCCGTGTGTGTATATTGTACAAGGTTAAAGAAAAAGGGAAAGGAAAAAGGTTCAATTTGTTTAAATATATCTAAAATGTTTCTTCATAAGTCTTTATCGTATTTGAAGGTCCTCAACATTTTGTGTTTGACTCTTGTTAATCAAAGGATAGAGCTCATATTTAGCATGACATTCTTTTATGATATTGATTACTACTCCAGTTGTCTGAGATAGACTTTTATGGCTTGTGCATATGCCTTCTTTTGTTGGCCCACTTATTCTAGATTTTAATTTTTGGGAATTGTGTTTAAGGCCTGTTAGACATGCTCCATGAAACATTGTTGAAAAAATCATATTGAAATCTTTTGCTTGATTAATTAAATAGCTCATAGAGTGTTTCCAAATGTAGTTCTGCTTTTGATGACTTCATGTGGTCTTATATCTTGTAGTTATGGCTCCACCAATTGAGACTGTTCAAAAAGTTGAGCCTCCTCAAAAAGTTATTGACTCCCATCATCATCATCATCATCATTCCTCACATCCACCTCTTAATGAGAGGATACTTTCTTCCATGACCAGGAGGTCTATAGCTGCACACCCTTGGCATGATCTTGAAATAGGTGAGCAGTAACTTTGGCAGCCATCTTGGTCATGTCAGCTTTCTTTAATTGTTATTGTACCCTATGTGTAACTTTTTTTCCTTTTCATTTTAATATAGGACCTGGAGCTCCAAAGATTTTCAACTGTGTAAGTATACTGAACCTTAATAACTATTTGATGCCTTAATTTTTTATTATAATGATTTTATCATTTGCTATGCTTGCTCAAATTATGCATTTTCCATGCTTATTTTGAACGAATATTGATTAGACACACTGAATAGTTGTACAATGCAAATACAGAACTGAAGAAGTCATCTTAGATTAAGTTGACCAACTTTCCAGCATGTAGTGACATTCTTAATATAATTCTCATTATTAAAATAATCTGCTCCAGAAGATAATTTTCTCTATAATATCATAGTTGACGGTATTTTCTCTAACTACTCAGTTTTCATATTCCAGTTCTAACAGTTACGACCTTTTTAGTACTTATTCAGAAACTATGTATTGTGATATGTTTGGCATCCTACTTATCGTTGTTCTTGTGGAAATGTATCCAGGTTATTGAAATTCCAAAAGGAAGCAAAGTGAAATATGAGCTTGACAAAAAAACTGGACTCATCAAGGCAAGTATTGCGCTAAGCTAATCTTCCTCATATTTTTAGTACATAAAGTATGCTTGCTGACAGGTGTTTGTATGCGCAGGTTGACCGCATACTGTACTCATCAGTTGTCTACCCCCACAACTATGGCTTCATCCCCCGAACTCTTTGTGAGGACAATGACCCCTTGGATGTCTTGATTATTATGCAGGTATTTTTATGCTTCTTTCCGTTGGAAATTCCATTTTGGAATTTTAATTTGAGAATATCACACAATGAGACATGGTTTATAGCATTCTAACCTGAATATGACATTAACCATTCCCTACGATATAATCAATCATATACATGTAAAATCATATAAAAAGTTGTGAGATTATTCTGACATATTTGTAAAGCCATGCACAGTTGCTGGTGAAATCATGTGTTATATTTGTAAAAAACTATCTATTTGGTTTATGTTGAAGCTGATGCTTGTATGTGGAAACTCACGCTGATGTATTTTGACTCTGAAAAAACTTACAGGAGCCAGTTGTTCCTGGATGCTTTCTTCGGGCAAAAGCTATTGGCTTGATGCCTATGATCGATCAGGTACATATTCAGACAGAAATGGTTGTTCTTTTAAATTTGTCACAAAGTTCTAATTTTCTATGAAATCAGGGTGAGAAAGATGACAAGATAATTGCTGTCTGTGCTGATGATCCCGAATACCGACACTACCAGGACATCAAGGATCTCCCACCACATCGTTTGGCTGAGATCCGGCGCTTCTTTGAGGACTGTATCCTTTTTGAAATTTCAGTTTCTAGAAATCGTAATTTTGTTATGTATACTGGTTCTTTTTCCAAAGCCCTATTATTATTATTTTTCCCTTAACCAACCAAAAAAATCAGACAAGAAAAATGAGAACAAAGAAGTTGCAGTTGACGACTTTCTCCCTGCATCTGCTGCCTATGATGCAATCCAGCATTCCATGTAAGTGTTAATGCTCTCTGAAAATTATACTGTCAGTGGTGTTATGAGAATGTAGATGTTAGAAATCAGAATAGCATGGATACAATTCAAAAGTACCGAATCGCCCCTTGACTTTTCAAGTTTTGATCATTTCTGGTTCGTGAGAAAATTGATTTGAACTGCATTTGTCGGCCTAAATTTCATTTCACATCAGCCAAAGTCAAGCATTTTAATACCAGTTCACATCCTCGACCAAAAGTCGGGGTTAGATGCCTGGATTCAGTTTACATTTGGGTTTTTCTAGAGAGTCTAAATAGTCTAATATTACTTGTCTACAAACTTAAATGAATGGAGTACGAACTTAATCTCTCAAACTCCCTTTGTTCTAATGTGATATAGGGATCTATACGCGGACTACATAGTGGAGAGCCTCAGGCGGTAGTTTGTGCAAGCAACGAATCTTGGTTGCTATCATCTATCATCTGTAATGAAAATAACTTTATTATTGTGTTGTTTATGCATACATTTTGTTTCGCAATGTATGCATGTGCTTATATACTACGACTCTAGATGGATTGTCTCCTCTGCTTCATATGACAAGTATTAAAACTCTTATACAGTAATGAATATCGAAAACGACTGGAAAAAGAATTGTAGTTTGGGTTGATATATTGGTTTTGTGTCATTCTTCATTCACCCTGGCATGGGTTTGAAACGAAGTGTACTTGTATGCATTGCGGCTGTTCTTTTCATTTTTTTTTAAGTAAAAATGTATTCTTTACTATATGTCGATGTAATGAAGCAATTCTCGTGGACAGTTGATTTTTTGTAGAAGGCTTGAAGGTGGATTTTGTAACATCAATGTATCGTTTGTTACGGATTTCAAGTTTTACGGTTAATATGATGAAATAATCAGCTTAAAGTTAGTTTAAAACACCAAATGATCATTAACTGCCCACCAGGCTGACCAGCTACATTTCCATCACTATCCACATTAATCATCAGGCAAACTGATCAAATCGTTCATAAATTTGGAAAATATCTGAGCCAATATATTGAGTTTCAAAATCTATCCCTCATAGGCCCCTTCAATTTACCGAGAGAATGATCAAAGATGAAGTAAAAGCACGTGAAACTTACTAGGCTGAGGAAAGTTTCCAAAGCCGCATAACAGCAATCACCAGTCGAAGAAACTAAGAACTTTCCTGCCAGCAATTTGCCTCCTAGCCTCTTCATGATCCATTCCATAGTGCCGCCGGCAAAAGTTTCCAGCACAACATATCTAAATTGCCAAGTTATACAAATATGTCAACCAAAATAAACCCATCAAACTTTAAAATTAGCACACACACTCATGATATAATACATACCTACAACCATGCCAATACACAAACTTTATATTGATATAATCTACGAAGAGGAGATTAGTGAAAGGGCACACATTCACTGCTCTGGCCAACTGACTTAACCTACGTCCGCAAAAGCAAAGAAGAAGGGTTGGGACTAATTATTAAGTAGCCATTGTGCTTAGAAGCAGTCACAGCCCATAGGTTGACAAAGTGATAAACGTCCAGGTCACAACCACGGTGTATTTATCATCTCTACATCCACGTGGCTCCATGTCACCTGCACACCTGGCCGAAAACCCCGAATCCTCAATCATCTAAGCCACCAAAATCAAAATATTCCCAACGCAAAACCTAAAGCTTAAAGCCATAAACCCTCACCAAGCAACTGTTTTCTCCTTCCTATCCCCAAAACCCAAAAACCCTTATACTCTATAGGGCGATGTCGTAAAACCCTACATACCAGTCCGAACCCGAACCCGAAACCAAAACGAAACCAAGCAGACCACCATGAGCTCCTTCACCAACACCACCAACTTCGACAACCTCATGCTCCAAACCCTCATGGGCAGGCTCCAAATCCGACCCCCAACGAACAACTCCTTCCTCTCGCAAACCCTCGAAGAACTTCTCTTCGACGCCGCCAATCTCTCTGGCGATGAAGACGATGACAACGAGAACAAGACCCAGCTCGCCAAAGAAGAATCCAAGCTCGAGAAGGACATCATCCGGGTCATTCTCAGCGGCAAGACCAATTCCCTCAAACCCAATTCGGGTCAGGCCGTGACGATTGGGGAGCATCACATTTGTGTCGGGTTTCATGAGGAGACGGGTTCGGATTATCGGGTCTGGGAGTGGCATGGGCATATCATGCTCTTCGATGAAGAAAATGGATACACTCCAGAGTATATATATGGGAATTACTTTGAGAGACTGATTGGCAAGGCTCGTACTGGCAGTAGTGGTGCTCGTGTTGAGGAGGAGGCTAAGGAGGAAGAGGAGGACAAAGAGCAGGTGGGAAATTTGGGGCTCAGGGAATTGATTGATGGTGGGGATTCGGGTCAGGGTCGGATTCTTCATCGGAATATCAATGCTGGTTCTTCAAGGTTTATATGAATTAACGTTTTTTTTCCTTCCATATTTTCGTTTAATGTGCTTGTGTTTTATTGCTTTCGCATTTTTTTACTGTTGAAGTGCTTTGGATTTTGAAAGTTGTTGTGAGTTGCAGAAATGCTATATGCTATGTGATCTTGGAAACTTGTTGTTAGTGACTGCGCTGTTCTACTTAAATTGCAATTTTGTGCTCATTAGCCTAAGATTTTATCCAACTTCTCACATTGAGGTTTGGAGTAATCCTTCACTCAAATATCAGAGTAAAGAGCTTATGCCAACTGTTTTCACGAAAGATGGCACATATGGAAGGACACATCTATTTTGTAGTTAGAAATAGTAGTAAGTTGGATTTCTGTTTGTTTTGAAGTCATCATAATTGTACTAACTTAAGTTGAAAGCTCAAAAGAAGATCATGTATTTCACTAGCACTGTAATGAACAGATATGCAGTAGGTTGATGGAATAAGATTATAACCATTGGTGATTTGCTTGCTTAGATTATGAAAAAGGTTATCCTTTAGGATGTTCAAGATGTTGACATAAAAGCTTATGAAACTTCAAGTATCTGCCTGCTATTACCAGGTAGGCTGAGAAAAAGAAGTTTTGGTCAAGTAATTTTTCATATATATAGTCTGTTATCTTGAAATTGACAATATGAAGAACTAGGGACTAATTCTGCTACCACCCGCTCTTACCATCAATTGTTGCCATCTTTGGCAGGCATCACACAAGGACCTAGGGGTTATTCTGCTTCTGCTTGCTCTCACCATCAATATATTCTCATATTTGGTATTCTTAACAATATACTCCCAGCCACCCTTGATTGTTGACCCTTATGCTTGTTCAATCAATCTGTTTCATGTTGATTTAATGACAAGGAGGTTTATAGTCCTCTTGGAATATATGTGTTCTCTGTCTAGATCTAGATCTTGTTCTTGTTTCAAGTTGGTTGCTCCCTCAATATCTTCTTCTTCATCGTCCTCTTATCCCCAATGGATTCATGTGGCAATGTGAAGAAAAAGAAAATAATTGTAGCAGTTGAGTTGAATTCATCTTTAAGTAAGTTGTGCACATGATCCTTCTGAAGTCTCTTTCTCAAGCCTTCCACCAAGCATTATATATTACTATGAAACCTTGGATGTGGTATGTTTCCTTGTAATAATCTTCTACACTTACTTGAATCATCATGTTCCACTCGTGTTTGTGGTAAGCTGTGGTTCAAAGCTCCAAACTGCCAGGAATTTGTTTAGGATTTTGGAATCATGTCACCACCTTCATGCAAACTATTTCTTGTCTTACTGTATTTAATCATTCACTGTCTATATGTACAAACCATGCCGACCTTGCCATTTGCTATGCTTTGCGTGTTTTCCATGATTATCTTTCCTCTTACAGGGTTTAGTGGAGATCAAAGATTTGGTTTGCATAAGAAGTATTAAAGAAGGAGCTAGCAATGATCTTCTCATTTCATTGTTTACTTGGGGTGGGAGATCAAGGCTACTTATCAATTTAGAATGGTATTTGTATGCTGTTTTCTGTTAGCTTTTGTTTGACTTTCAATACGTTGGACAGTACAGAAGAGGAAGAAGATATGTTTTGTGAGACTTCATTATGTTAAAGTAGTTTTTGATTAGCTTATCAATGGACGAAAATGGTGCATCCATCTTTGATTTTACTTGGTTGTAAATTTTAGTTTTGCCTCTCTGGCTAGGCTTGTGGTTAAAGCTAGGGGTCCAATGGCCATTGGTGATCATTTTCAACGAAATGATTTGCAGCCCCCTGTGTGTCTGTGTTAGGCCTTTAGCCCCGTTATGTGCCCAAAAAAAAAGAGACTCGGCCTCTACTCAAATCGTGGAAAAAAAAAACCAGAACAAAACTACTTTATTAAGTTTCTGCCCAAAAAAAAAAAACTTTATTAATTTGAATTGTTTCAAGATACATTACAAACTGTTTAGTTTTTTAATGTTCATTTCTTCAATTTAAAATAATGAAAAATAATACTTTAGAAATAAAAAAGTAACACATTTCTCCCTTCGCTTCATAAGGATACGGTAAAAAGTATGTACAGTTCAATTAACTTTTTTTCTTCTTCTTCTTATAAAAACAATAAATTAATTTAATTTAATTTAATTTATGGAATAGAGGGATTCGAACTTCGATGCAAAGCGTAGGTTCCTTGTCCTTACCAACCGACTGAACTCACGTTTAGAGATGGCAATGGGGCAAATCGGGGATGGGTATGCTATTTTGATCCTCATCCCCGTTAAGATTTTGTTCCCCATCCTTGCCTCCATATGGGTAATATTCAAATTGGGGATTCCCCATCCCCTCCTTCGTTGGGAACAAGTTCCAAAGTCTTGCCCCATTACAAAATACCAATGAGAAAAAAAAAAGTTAGAAACTAAACATACAATACAAAAGTTTTGTTTTATACTTAATTCAATATATGAACGAGGAATATAAAATATGGGGATTAGAATACCATATCCGCCCCATCCCAAACACCATATCCGAAAACTTCTCCAAATCCGTCCCTCCCCATACCCAATTTATATCCTTTATACTCTCATAAAGATTGAAGTCTTGCAAAGACTGTAACCCGTGGTGGGGAAAATTGCCATCCCTACTCATGTCAACCACATTTTTTAAAATTTATTTTAAACCCAATTATAATTTTGAAAAATAATAGTTTCAGATTTTTTTAAAAATTAATTCATAAAACAACAAAGAAAATATTAATTGGCATTTTGTTACCAAAATGGGTCCAGTCACCCTTGAGTAGTCCGTACTATATCTATTTGTTAATTGTTGCGAAATAAAATCTAAAATCCTACGGTAGGGAGAGTAGCCAAGTCAATTTCTCTTCAAGCAATCGTACGGGCCATATTTGAGACGGAAGCCAAAACAACTTCGTAATCCGTTATGACTACGACTGACTCAAAAGCATCCGCCATCCCACTTTCCAAATCAATCCAACGGGGACGAAAACACCCACGTCACCGATCCTCGTGAAATCAGAAAACCCAATCAGAACCAACCTCCCCACACTATATAAACACTCGCGCACTCTCCTCTCCATCCACCAAAATCCCTGAATTCACTCTGTGTGTAGAAGACCGTTCTCCTTCTCATTCGTCAGTTCGTTCGTATCGGATCAGAAGCAACAAAAAATCGGCGAAATGGCGCCAACGAAGGCCGAGAAAAAACCAGTCGCAGAGAAAGCCCCGGCGGAGAAGAAGCCGAAGGCCGAGAAGAAGATCCCCAAGGAAGGCGGCGTCGAGAAGAAGAAGAAGAAGGTGAAGAAGAGCACCGAGACGTACAAGATCTACATCTTCAAGGTCCTGAAGCAAGTGCACCCCGATATCGGGATCTCGAGCAAGGCCATGGGGATCATGAACAGCTTCATCAACGACATATTCGAGAAGCTCGCGCAGGAGGCCTCGCGATTGGCTCGCTACAACAAGAAGCCCACCATTACGTCGCGGGAGATCCAGACCGCGGTCAGGCTGGTCCTGCCCGGTGAGCTCGCCAAACACGCCGTTTCCGAGGGCACCAAGGCCGTCACCAAGTTTACCAGTTGTTAATTATTTTTTTTTTTCTCTTAAAATAATTTTTTGTGATTATAAATATTTTGTTGATCCAGGTTTCTGGATATGGTGTTAGGGCAAATTGGATATATTAATGAAATTGGATCCTTCATTTTAATAAGATGTGTGGAGAGGTTTTATATGGTGCATGTTTTATTTTGTGGGATTCGTTTCATCTGAATCTGGTTTGAATTTTGGTAATTTTGTTAAGACCAATGAAAATAAGGAGGAAGAGAGAAGGGTAAAGATAAGTTGAATTGCTACAAATCAAACCTTTGAGTTGCTTAAAATAAGCAAACTCTTGATGCGTGAGAAAGGTCTCCACTTATGCCAGGTGATATGTTGTTTTGTTTGTATTAGAAAAAACAACGAGAGCATTACAATTAAAAAATAAAATAAAATTTACGCAAGTGATTTATTGATGAACATAGTTACATAAAATCTTTGAAGAAGACATCTCGAATGATATCGGAAGGAGACTCGAACTATGAACGAACATGTATTCATGAATAGCGAAAGAGCATAAGGAATGAACAATCTCAAAAGTTGAATAAATTTTGAGTTTAATTAATTTAAAACGATTTGGTAGCAATATACTTGCGTCTTTTCAGTAGCTTTCAAGGGCTTTTTTGGTCCCCTATTTTTCTTTTTTCTTTTTTGAGAAAAAGTAAAAAACCAAAAGGTCCAATATTTTGTTAAAATAAAAAAAACGCTAGAAGGAGGGCTCGAACCTCCGACCTTGTGGTTAACAGCCACACGCTCTAGCCAACTGAGCTATTCCAGCTTTTGATTATTTTTCTATGCATTTTCACATATAAACGCTTATACGTAAGAATTCAAATGCGGCACCAAATTCATTATCAAGGATTTCAAGTTCAGTCACAATTCTGGCCCAAGTTTAACTGCCCTGGTAAACAGGACTGCTTTGTGTTTTTACAATACAACAAATTGTCATCCACCTTGATTTAGAATCTTTATTGAAACACCCAAGCATCATGAAGCAGATGCTCTCCAAATAGTAAGAACAAAGTGCAAAAACACACAAGCAAATTATCTCCAATTGCAGCATTGCAACAAGTGAAATCTAGAAAGGGGGCTAATTTCATTTCATTAGAAACATGGATGTTCTACAATGATCTGGAAACACAGAGTACAATGGACTGAAATTCTAGGGGGATAATGACACATGAACCATCCTACTAACCAAGTACGCACATGAAGACTTCGATACAGAGATACATTAATTTACTACCCACAGACATTACTAGTTAGAGAAGTTAAGCCTTCTTGGGGGACTTGGTGGCCGTGCCCTTGGCCGGAGACTTGGGCTCCTTCTTCGCAATCCTCTCTGGCTTCTTTGGCAGAAGCACAGGGTTGATGTTGGGAAGCACACCTCCATGGGCAATTGTCACACCAGCAAGGAGCTTTCCGAGTTCTTCATCGTTCCTCACGGCCAATAGCACATGCCTCGGAATAATGCGGTTCTTCTTGTTGTCTCTTGCAGCATTTCCAGCCAGTTCCAAAACCTAACCAAATCACTCCCATCACGGTTAACACTAACTCATAGCAACTCATAGAACATGGTTCATGCCATATACACCATATGCTTGAACCCCATTTGGCCACTGAGAACAATGTAGGCAAATTACAACAAAATAAACTCACTTGTTTATCAAATATTAAATCTTTGACTTTCAAATTGAGGGAATCAATTGAAACCCATGATCAAAGTATCAATTATCAAACTCAGAACCCAATTAAGTTGCTGAACTATATCACAAAAATTACGACCTCAAGAGGCCTGTTTGCATGCGAAATTGAAAAGCCTAACTGAGATGTTTCAGTAAAGATAAGCTAAGCTGACTCTTGATTTGCTCTACAATTAGAAAAGCCACGACTTTCCATTTCCTTTTTCCATCAGTTTCTTACCCACCAAACAGATCCCAGCTGATAATCAAAATCAGAAACCCTAAGAACCTTAAGCAACATATCAGCTCAATCAGAGAGAGACAGAGACAGAGACAGAGGAAGCTAAGGTTACCTCAGCAGCAAGGTACTCGAGCACAGCAGCCAGGTAAACAGGAGCTCCGGTTCCGATTCGCTTAGAGTATCGGCCATTTTTCAAATACCGGCCAATACGTCCAACCGGGAACTGCAGACCGGCTTTCACGGACCGGGACACCGGTTTTTTTTTGGGACCGCCTGCCCTCCTTCCTCCTGCGCCTTTCTTGAACTTTACCCCGGTGTCCATCACTCTGCCTCGGAACTTCTGAACTGAATTTCCCGAGAAACAAACAGAAACAATAAAAATGTAAAAGTCCAATTTTAGGAAATGGAGCTTGAGTAAAAGAGAGATATATACAGGCTAACTAAGGTTAGAAGACCAAGAATGGTTTGGAATCCGGGGACAGTGGCCGTTGGATTGGCTCCGATCGATGGTTGTGGGAATCTGAGTTGGCAATCCGACAGTGAGGAGTGGACCAAAGTGGTGTTAGTTGAACAGTGGAGTGCAATAGAGACAACAAACCAGGTGGAGGTCCCATGGGGGTTGTTCTTTCTCTTATTAGATAAGTTCCAATTTGGGCTACTGTTCATGGTCGAGTATGGATTGGATAAGTTAATAAATATAAGATATGTCGATGTAGGTGCTCTCACCGAACCTCCATGTCCGTGACTTAACAATGTTAATAATTATGATCAAACTATATATATTTTAAGAACCTTTTCTATTGAGATGGACGATGTTATACTAAACTCACACATATTATACGAATGTTAGGACTTAAACTCAGGACCTTTCATGGGGGGAGCAATTACTCCAAATCAGTGGCAGTACTGTGCACAGGGCAGGTTAGCCCAATTTTTTATATATTAAAAAACCTACATATGTTAATATAAGCCTAGCCCAAAATTAAAAAAAATTAAAACCAAAACCTACACACATGTTGCCATTTCAGGTGGTCCCATATCTTCTCTCTCATCTTTTGGTTATGCGACATCTTGTTTCTCTCTCTTAGCTACCCGACAACAGCAACTTCTCTCTCCCTCTATTGACTATATCTTCTGTTATTTTGGGTGGTCAACTTGGCAACAACATCTTCTCCTCCCTTTTATATATATCTTTAATTATAGTTTTAATTTAAAATTGAGTATTCTAGGGTTTAATTAGGGATGAATTATAATTTAGGGATTTCGTTGAAATTAATTAGAACTTTGATTTTAGGAATACCGTATTGTTGAGATGCTATTATGAGAATTTGGTTGATTTTTTAGTAGTATGTTTGATTAAAATTATTTATATATATATATTATTCATAGGCTATCTTTTATTATATTGAAATCCCAAGAAAACAAAGATTTTGTTGTCTTTTTTTAAGAAAAAGAATGATGAGTCATCATCTAGTACATTGCCTTCTAGCACTTCTTTATCTATACTCCAATATGTTATGAGAAAAATCTTCCCGAGTCTCCAATTGTCGAGCCTCAAGTTGAAAGAGTTGAATCTAAAAGAGTCGATAATGATCATGATTTTAATATAAACTATCTTGAGTGTGAACCAGGATTACGTTGTCTAATATGCAAATATCCGGTGAATGAATAAGATAATGTGCGAAGAGCATATATTATTTTAGGACCATGCCAACCCGAGTTAGAAGATTATACAAGCCACTTAGATGGGCGAGATTTTCTTTGATTTAATAAAAAGTGGTTTGGCCAATTCACTTGGCTTGAGTATTCAGTTGCTAACCCAGCTGGCAATGGGTAGTGTCGTATCGGGTTCGTGTCGTGTCAAGATTATATACGTGTCAAGAATGCTCAACCCAAACCCAAACTCAATCCGTTTAATAAACGTGTCATGCACGGGTTGACCCGTTAAGTTCTCGTGTGAGTTTCGGGTCGTGTGAAGTTAACCTGCTAAGTGGTAGCAACTAAAAGATATTAAAAATAAATAAACAAATAAACAGGTTAGTGGGTTGGTGGGTTACACGGGTATTTTAGCGAGTTGGTGGGTTAATAGGTATTTTAACTGGTTGACGGGTTGACCCCCCATGACCCGTTTTGTTAAATGGGTTATATAGGTATTTTAACGGGTTGGTGGATTGACCTGAAACTCACCCGTTTATTAAACGGGTCATGACGAGTTGACTCGAAATTGCCACCCTAGTTTGAGTCGTGTAACGGGTCGTGCCTGAAATTGCCACCCCTAGTTGCTAAGAATAAGGTATTTAGTTTTTCTTATTTTCATACCGTCAAATTTAATATGAAAGTTTTGCTCAGTCAACTTTCGAATCCTGAAACTGCTAGTCAAAACCACCATCATGACAAAACTATTCTTAATTATACAACAAATGCCTTTTTAATAAAATAAACCGTGTACCTTACTTGAGTAATGTAATCCAATGGTAGAAAACTTGTTTTTGGCCTTAAATTATTAAAAGCAAAATAAAAATAAAAATGGCCTTTTGGTGCAAAGTGCAAGCAGCCGGACACCTCCCCATAAAAATCTGAAGAAAAAAAGAAAAGTTCGTTGACCCGGCCCAACCCAACTAAAAATCTCCCGTGACCGGCTGGGTTG